AGAACTAATTATTGCTTTTAATTAATTAAACACATTGAATGATTTAGAACTGCACAAGCTTGTATAACAAATTTGTATAAAATCAGTAACCTGCATCTACTGTATACATACTTGTACTATCAAATAAATATTGCAATATGCTAAATACAAATTAAAACATAAGTCTGCAGCACAACCATCGTAGCCAGCCCGACGATTTAGTCCCGCTATGCAAATATTTTTGTGTTCATTTACTGTGAACACAATCAATTTCCAAAGAAATGAATAATGATAATAATTTTGAATTTGCATAGCGGGACTAAATTGTCGGGCTGGCTACGCCACTGAGCACAACTAACCTTTTTCATCAGTAATTAAAACAATTTTGAAATATCCCAGCTCAGGAAACTCGCAATGATGAAGTGGATTTTTCAGCTTGGGTGTTTTCATTTTTACACCAACAAACATGTTGTCCTATTAAAAAAATTCCCATTAAAAACAATCAAAATATCGGCTATTGATTGACAGCTACCTTACTCATGTGTTTCACTCTCAGGAAAATATATAAAGCCTTTAAGTTGCCACAACTTCTTTGAAAAAGCTGCATGTGTCGATATTGTTTGGGTAGAAAATGTAAACAAAGCAGAGACGCACTGACAGACTCTTCCACGTCTAGCTTTAAATGAAGTGCTGATTGGCCTGCCAGGCATAGTAACCAACTAAGTGAGATATTGCCAGAGAATAAGTCCAAGCTTGATATGAGCTACCATACTTCATATTCAATCAGGTAATCTTACCAGGCTTGACTGCAGGTTGCTATGATATGAAAGGTCTAGGCACCAGTGCATGTGAATAGAATCAATTGAGCCCCCTCTCCATAACCACTAGTTATTAAATATTTTACTGAATCCAACTGCTAACAACACCTTTTTATCTTACTAAAGTAATAACTGTACGTGATTTTTGCTCAGGGTGTTTCAGTCAAGCCTATCTACTGTCTGTTCAGACCTTTCGATTAATGCCTAGTTTTTATAATGCCTCTGATAAGCAAGATAAAATAATCTGGCATTAGACAAAGTTAAACAATCTGGCAGTAGACAGATGAATCTTGCATTAGACAAATATTGTAGTGTACATGCATGGGTGCACCATTCCAGTACAGCAGTACTAGCCTAATAATAGACTTAGGTGCTGTTTATATGATCTCAGGTACTAGGGACACCCTACCCACCCACTGAAACAAATTTAACCCAATGTTTATATGAGAAAATGTTATAGCCCTGACACTATAAAGCTATTTCAATTAAGGTTGTCCCCCGAGCAAAGCGGAAAAGTCGAATACGAACGCGAAAGGCTGCTGGGAATCTGCTAATAAATTAATGAATTTATTAGCGATTCCCAGCAGCCTATCGCATTCATATTCAACTTTTCCGCTTTGCTTTCACAATATTTACCTGCCATTTCTCTGGTGAATGAAAATAGTTTTTAGTGTCGTGAACTTCAACCAAACACTTGGAACAAAAGAAAGAGTAAGGTCCACAGTCTTTACACCGAAATTCTGGATTTTCAGATAAGCAATTGCAGCAAAATGCTGTATGGGGAACATGGCTTGACTTCCTGTATGCCTTTATCAAATATTCTCGCTCCTTTCTCCACGATGAAAGAAGCCTGAATTTTCTTTTGTTGTGCGACGATAAGCTTTCCCCTTCTTCGTCCGATTCCTCTTCAAAAATATTCGTATCTTCGCACAAATGATCTTCTAGATCGCGTGTCCCATGGCCATGTGCGTCACTTGATCTTCCTGACACATCCTTGCTGCTACATCCAAGAAAGCCTGAAAAATCAAGCTCTAAACGCTTATTTTCCTCAACAAGCCTCCCCGTACGACTAACACTTAACTCGTCAAACTCAAAGCTGCCGATATCCTCCAAAAAGTCTTTGGTTTTCTTTCTTTTTGGCATTTTTCAATACGAAGGAACGCAACTATTATGTAAAACAGAATGTCTAGCATATATAATTCAAGTTCTGAATATGCAAACACATAACTTGCGGTTTCATGTGTGAGGGTACTCGAGGGGATCCCACGACGCAGTATATATACTGACCAGTGATACTGACGCGTTCAATGATTTTGTCAGTATATATACTGATGATTTCGTGTGCATCGGGTGTTACCAGGGTCTTCTCATTTTTCACGCGCCATGTACGAAGAAGACCCTGGGGACGAGGTTGCTCAGATTTCTGATGAAATGAGGAAAATAATGAATATTCTTTGGTATTATTAAATTTTGGAATTTAGTCGTGTATGTATGTATTCTGTGCCATTTTAAAGCCGAGAAAATTACTTTGCCTTCGACCATTGTTGCTCTCTAGAACACTCAAGCTCTTCACAAGTCGAGTTCTCGCGGTATGTGTCACATTTAGTTGTATCTTTTAACTGCAATCATTGCTAATGATTTTCTAAGGTGTGATCCACGTGTGTAAACGAATACACTTGTTGCTGTTTCATATATTGTTTTCCATTTATAGCAGAGTGGAGTTATTTTCAATACTATTATTCACGCTGATTTTAATTGATAATATGACAATTTCCAAGGCTGTAGTCTGGCACATTGTTCCAGTGTGTTTTCCAATCGAATGGTCTCGTGTATACAGTCTATACATGAACAGATTTTTTTTCCCTGTGTTGGTGTTGTGTACTCAGGTGAATATGATGTTTGTGATGTTACTCTGAGTGCATATCCACACCGGGCGAGCTTGAAAAATATGCCCGGCCACGGTGCGAATCGAACCTACGACCTTTGGAATACTAGCCCAATGCTCTGCCAACTGAGCTACACGGTCAGGACGCGTAGCTCAGTTGGCAGAGCATTGGGCTAGTATTCCAAAGGTCGTAGGTTCAAATCGTGCCGTGGCCGGGCATATTTTTCAAGCTCGCCCAGTGTGGATATGCACTCAGAGTAACATCACAAACATCATATTCACCTGAGTACACAACACCAACACAGAAAAAAAATCATATTACTAGATTACAGGTGATTAATTGACTTTTTAATATGGATCTCCTGCTAAGTATATACTGTTCACAAAATGAAAATAAACCATGTTTCATTAATGATGGTAATTATGTTTCATTTCAAGAAGTATTAATCATGCAATCCACCGACTCATGGAGAAAATTGTAAATTCAAATAATTCCAAAATGCCATAACAGCAACAGATATAGCAGCTTCTGTTTTTACATTTTGAACGTTTATATTTTTTTTCGAGGGTAAATAATACTAATTCATTTTATGAAAAATTTTAGTATACAGTGTTACGAGCCGGTCCCTAATATTTTATCTGGCCACTCTGGTTTTGTTTACTCGCAACAAAAGAATGTAAATCTAAGCATTTTACTCTTTTGATGTGGAATATATATTTTACTAGCAAAGCATTTATTTAGTTATATGTAAGCTACATGGTTAATCAGGCTATATATTAAAACTTATCTGTCCGAGTGAGCATTGCAATTTGATAGCAACAGTTCAGCAGTTCAAGTGTTCTTTGTACTATATCAGTCCAGTGACTCCAGTAGTTGATTATCCACAAGATATCCATGTTGTCATCTTTGTAATTTATATCAGTGCGTTAAAGCAACTTCATCCTCAGCCATGGAGCCTCCTTGAGAGTTGAGTCTTGTTCCTCTTTCTTAATCATAAAGTTCACTGATGCATTTCCTATACGCAATGCTGTGGTCGTCGGTAGAAACGTCTCTGACCACATTCAATAGGCATGAGAAAGTCTGCCAGAATGGCAGCATGCTGCCAGGAAATGTTTTTAATCTCACAGGAAATTTTTAAGGAAAAGCAAGATATTAAGATTGAAGCTCGAGAAATTTCAAAAATCAGCATTAAAGTAACAAACATCACAATTAGAGCATAAATACAACAATCATAACATAAAAATTTGTATCATGTGGCAGTGCTACAACTGTCTGTTAATTTGAATTACAACCAAAATTCATATTTATAAAAAAAATTGGCAGGAAATTTTTGGTCTGGGAAGCCTGCTTGCCAGGAAGAAAAATATTTTATCAAGGCTTCGTCAATCATGTCCATTCACGTTATGTAAGCTATCTTTAATTAATTATTTGAATAAGTATAAGCTATATAGTATAGTATAATATGTATATAGTATAACAATAGTGAATATGTGTAAAATTGCATGATATTGCTTATCATGTAACAACAGTAAAAGGAATTTGTCATTTTTCTCTACTATAAAGGAATGTATTTCTTCGTTTTGTAATTAATTACCTTTTCCTGTTCCTTTTGAAAAATGTAACTAGTATCTACAGGTCAGAATAGCAACTAATCTGACTAATGTAACGAGTAGCCTGTAACGTGTTACAATAATTGTAACAAGTACTTACAGTACAGACAGCCCTGCCAAGAAAATGTCAATATGACGTCTTTTCCAGTACTTACCACAACTCCTGCCTCCCCACCAAAGATGACAGGCCTTAATAGCGGATAATTTTCGAGATAATTCTGAAAACTACAAATTCTGTGTTTTCAAAGTACTAAATATGATACACTGTACTGTTATCCAAGGTGCATGAATATTTTTCATAAGAATTGGGAGATGTATATTTCAGGGGAAAATACATTATGTCTACAAAACCCCTCTCTGACTCTGTATATTTGACTATATAGACTTCAGGACAGACATATTTACAGTACTTGAAATGTTCCCTTCATACGTTGACTTGCTTGTGTGTATAATCAACAAGTATTCGCTGACATTTACAATATTGCATGGTATGGCAGAAGTCAGAAAACATCAACCCTTTGCGCTGCTTACACAAAAGTGTTACCTTCACTCTTTGTGCTTTAGTGTGTAACTTTATTATTATTTAAAACTCACATTTTAACGGTATAAACATCGAATCTTGCAACTATTAACTCTCTGTCTTTTCTACACAATACAATTCTCTTAATCACCATACCGCATGCTCTGTCACGCCATGTGACGTACTTCCGATCTATTACTAATTACGTCATGTCAAATTCCGTGGGGTACACTCTCCCCCTCTAACGAAAAGAGTCGTCTTCGACTTGTGAATACGCGGAACTGTTTCTTCTTCTTCGACTAAGTAACGTTTCTTTTAAAATTAATTATCCTAATTAACTTGCTCTGGAATGGGTTGATCAGGCTCATCGTTGCTACTCTGTCCATAAATAAACTGTTCGACGTACTTAAACTTAAAGCAGTTGCTTTTTTTTGAGTTACACTAAAACGTTTTCTTTCAATTATATTAACTAAACCATGTAGATAATAATTTGTTCCATAAAGTGTTTGTCTACCACAATGGTACGGTAGGAAGGGTTGGGTATGGGTTCCAAAATTGAGGTTGAGGGATTATTGGGGGAAATGTTCCAGGTGCAGGTGGATAGGATGGGGTCCAAAATTGGGGTATTACCGGTGGTATTCCGTATGGTGGAGGGATTGGAGGATTCCATTGAAATACAGGAGGTGGAGGGTGAGGTAGATGGAAAGGTTTGTGTCATCGTTGTGGACTGGTAGATACTGCTCGACTTTTCCCCCATAAACCGGACTGATATACGCTGGATTTTCAGGACCATAATACAAGGTATGTGAATCTTTAAGGGGGTTGTCTTCTTCGCACCACACGATTACCATCAGTTTCTACTTCTTGGTCAGGTATTATGTTCTCAGGATTCCTATCGCCATGCATATTCTCTTCAGAGATATTTGCTTGAGTGTCACTTATGTGATCCTGAACTTCATCAATCACTTCTGGGTTCTCTTGTACTGTATCTTGCAGGATATCTTCCGCAATATAACCATTCTCATTTGCAGGGTCAATTTCTAACTGAACTGGATCAGGAGTATCTGGGTTAACTTCCATTCTCTCAGGTTGGTGAACGGTAACTCGAAATTCATCGTCGGTATCACTATCACTGTTCGATCTTTCGACTTCACTCTCATTTTGAGGTACACGTTTTGTAGCTCGGTGTGTTTCCGTTGTCTTTCGAGTTAATTCGCGCCAGTTTTCTAATGGCAGATGTTCGCATGGAAGGAGAAGATTTCTATGTAGCACACGATTACGTCCCCGTCGTGTTTCGGGTCTTAACTCGTAGACTGGACTCTCGGGTCCCTTTCGTGAAACGACTACGTGTACTTCTTCTTCCCAAAAATCCAAAATGCTCGAAGTTTCCCCGGTCCTCCCCTCGGTGAAAGGTTTCGAACAAGAACACGATCTCCTGGTTGCAAGTCCGTGTAGCGTATACGACGATCATAGTTCTTCTTTCCTTTTTCGGCACTTTTCGTAGTAGCTTCGTGAGCAATTCGGTAAGCCTCGGTCATTGCAGTTTTCCACTTCGACACATAATCTGATCGTGAATTACTTTCCGCTTTGTCTGGCAAGTCAAACATTAAGTCAATGGGTAGTCTGGGACTTCTATCGAACAGTAGATAGAATGGTGAATAGTTCGTGGACTCGTGTACAGTGCAATTCTACGCATGAATGAGTTTATTAAGGTGATCTTTCCATCTTGACTTATATGACTCTGGTAATGTTCGCAGCATGCCTAACAAAGTACGATTCATCCGCTCAACTATGCCGTTGCCTTGAGGATGGTACGGTGTCGTCCGAGAGTGCATTACGCCGGTTAATTGTTCTAATCGCTTGAAAAGATTGTTCTCAAACTCCCCGCCCATGTCGTGATGGATTTTTTTCGGGACGCCAAACCGTTGTATAAAATCATTAAAAATTCTATCCGCCGCCGTCACACCGCTCTTATTTTTCGTAGGGTAGGCTTGAGAATACTTAGTAAAATAATCGACAACTACTAATATATACTGGTAACCACCGGAACTCTGCTCGAGATGTGCAAAGTCAATCGAGATTAATTGGAACGGTGCAGTTGTGACAATTGGTTGTAGCGGTGCAACTGTATGTCGATTGGATTGTTTTTGTTTTAGATATCGGCAGACGTGATGGATAAAATGTTCGATGTCCTTTCGCATGTTTGGCCAGAAGAATCGCTGACGTGCAAGATCTAATACTCGTTCTACGCCTAGG